CGGGTGGCGGTATGTAAAGCGCAAGAGAAAATATTTCACATCTATAAATGATGATGATGATGATGATGATGATGATGATGATGATGATTAAAAAGAGAACGACGACGAGAAGTGTACTCACCGTCGACGACACTTGAGATTCTTTCTTCTTCAATGCTTCTGTTTCTGCTGTTACTCTTCACAGTATGTCGTTTCTATGCATGCGATGCGCGTACACATACTAACAAAATAACGCTAAGAGAATGAAAGACATCGTATGTGTGCAAATTAGACCATCTGCTTGTGATATGATGATGAGAGGATAAGGGAGAGGAAGACGATCGACAACGACCAACAACAACAATTCAATTAGTCTTGGCACCCAAGAAAATGTGTTTATTCAATGCTTTGCCTATTTGCCTTGCAGCTCGGTCAATTTTCTTGATAGACACATGCATATAAGAAGGAAAGAAATTACAAATGGAAAAAGAAACGGAAAAGAGAATCGAAAAGAAGAAGAAAAGGAGAAATAATGGACTTGTGTGTGTGTATGTTGCGCGTCGATATCTCGAGAGAACAAGTAATTTTGACACTCTGCATGCATGCACTCAGCAGCTCACTCTCTCTCTCTCTTTCTCTCTCTTATGGGTTCGCGTGTTCGTCGAAGCAAACTAATAAATCATCGAAAATCAATTACGAGACGCGATGAGGGAGTTAGCTTTGCTCCAGGACGACAGAAGAGAAAGAACCTAATGAGTTACGCTACCAACATACTCATTTATGAATGAAGCGTGAAAAGCTCATTTCTCGCCTTTTTTTTTATATGTCTCTTTACATCAATTAGATGTGAGACAGTGAAGATAGCACAAGATGAAGGATTCAATCCAGATCACCATTACGCGCGCCCGCCCAATTAATAATTGACTTGGCAGTTGTAATAGAACAGAAAAGGAGAGAGAAGAGAAAAGAGAGGAAACACGCGAGAAAGCAATCAGCGTTTTTTAGCTTGATGTTCGTTCGTTCGTTCCGACGGCAATGATTAAATATTAACAGGAAATTGAATTGTGCAGCAAAGATATAGAACAGCAACGACTCAACGGAAAAGATAAAAAATCAAATCACATGTGTGATGACAACGACACGAGACATAGAAAAGAGATAGATAATTATCATGTGATGTATATAGGCTAGAGGTCATTTTCCGGTCTAACAAGTTCCTTTGGCACACGTCGTTGTCGTTGTCATTGTCATTGTCGATCTCCTGAGGCATTACCACCGAGTGCACCCATACAAATATTTGTTGCCTGCCAGTCAAGATAGTCAATGAGAGAACAGAGAAATGAAGAGAGTTCGATGTTGTTAATTGCCGTTGCTTCCGGCCTTCCTTTTATACAGATTTGACCGCGCTTATGTATATATGTATGTATGCCCGTTGAGACTATAGCAAGTTGTAAAAAAGAAAGCGAAGAAGAAGCAGAAGAAGAAGAAGAAAGGATGGAATGGCATAGCGAGTGTGTCTGTGCGGGTGTATGATGTGTGTAAAGCGGGGAGTGATTGATGAGAATACATGACAAGCTGCATACATATATATATATATATATATAGATGAAGAAAAAGGTCGGTGTATATATGTTCCGGAAAAGATTCGCTACATGGTGTGTATGTGTATATGTATGCCTGGCGGCTTGCTTATCAAAACAATTAGGCATTGCAAGCAGGAGAACGAGTCTACTTCTATGTGAGTTGTGTGTTGAATTAGCTCCGTATCGATCGTTCGCTCCATCGAATTGGGACGCATTCTTACAGCTGGCGGCAATATATAAGAGAAAGAGAAAAAAAAACGAAAGCATGCGTAGCGATTAACTCAATTATGCATGCTGCTCTCTTTCTCTTGATGTTAGTTGATGATGTTGTAGTTGTAGTCAGCTATTATCATCGAAACACATTCATTCATTTGAACAAAAGTGCATGCAAGATAAACGACATTGATTGTATATATGTGAAAAGAGCATGTGATGATGATTGGGGTGAAAGTGAACTTCACACGTCACGTCGCCACACCTCATTGCAAAGAAAAAAAGAAAAAAAGAGTGAAACTTGACACACACATATACACAACAACGACAAAAGATGACAATGACGACGATAAACTCTCTTGTGAATGTGCACGTCGTCGGCTTGTATTCTAATCCCTTGTGTGCGTGTGCACGTCATCATCAGACAGACGAGAAAAGAAAGTGCGCGACTAATCCGACATAGCAGCAACAGCACAACCAGTCGTTTAACCTCCGACAAACAAGAAAAAAAGAAAAGAAGTAAAGAAAGGATCAAGACAAGATTGATATTGTTCTTGTAATTGAATCAAAAGCAAGGACAATGATAGAAAAGTACCAATTTTCTTTTCAATGCTCAATTAAAGAGATGTCATATTTTCTATTCAACCTCCTGTGAATAAGTGATTGAGAAGAAACGACTAAATAGATCAAGATGGAAGAAAATTCTTACCAGATGTCTATATTATTTTTTTTTTTTTTTTTCTTTTTTCATCAAAACTATTCTTATTTGCAATCGAACAAAATTAAATCAGGAAATACATGACATAAAGTGTAGCTGTTATTATATAGATCTACTGTAGATATAAATTACTATTTCCTCAATAGAATTATTTCATCGATCGAATAAATAAACAATTTCTTAAGGATAAATAAGAAAAAAAAAAAAAAAAGAAAATTTTTATCGTGAATTTCTTTTTGCTTGAATAAAATGTTCATGCATGCGGAATAATTTGTCTAGTTCTTTTTTTATGTCAAAAAATTTTTATACAAATGTTTTCAATCATGTGTAAATAAAATATATAAATGTATTATTATTACTTAGACCATATCCGGTTCGGAGATTCTCAATATGAATATATCGTTGCTTCATTTTTAAAAATATCTCATTTTGGAAATTTTATTATTTTTTTTTTATAGAAGTCAAATATTTATAATCGAAAACTCGATATTTTCAAGTCACTATTGATCGATACATTATGAAAAATTTCCTAAAAAAAAATTTTCTTTGAATGATGAATTCTTTTGAAAAGAAGAAAAATATGACATTGAATTTGAAAAAAAAAAATCATAAAATTGATCAAATTTTTATTAATTAAAAATTAAAACAAAAAAAAAAAAGAGATGAAAAATCTGATTAATGAAAATCCATCAACAATGAATAATCCAAAAAAAACAACATATTGAGAAAGATATTCACAATATGATATATCTATCACATAAAAGAAAAATGTGAAGGACAGTCTGATTTATGTAGAGTCTACATAGGAATATATTTAACTTAAGTATAATACATCTCGACATTCTCAAAAGTTTACATCAAAACCTATCTTATTACATTCTAATCCTTGTGGATATTTTTATTACGTTCTTCTCACTTTTCATAATAAACATCTTTGAAACCAATCTAGAAAATCTCATTTTATTCTCAAAGGTATTGTTTTACTAAATATTACCTAGTAATAAAATATCTTCAAAATATTTATCGATAAAATACATCTTTTTAAGCAGTTTCAATCAATTGTGAATTTTTTATTATTTAATAATAGAAATAAAAAAGAAAAAGTATCAATTCTTTCAAAAATTAAATTTTTGACAATAACTAGAAAAAAAAATCTTGTCAATATGATTCCATTAGATTGACATATGAAGGATCTTTTTATTTTTTAATTTTCAAGGTAAATCTCCTATATTATTTCAAGTGTAAGAGTACGATTAAATATATGACATTTGTGTCGCTGGTTTTTTTTTTTTTCTTCTTCGCAAATTTAAATATTTAATTTCAATTGTTGAATTAATAGAAATGTCTTTGAAACCATTACAAATCCAAAATTCAATATGAAGAAAAAAAAAAAGGAAAACAATAATGAAGATTTTATTTAAGTTTAGAATCGAATAGGATACATTAATGTTGATTCATATTTTGTTCTTATCATCAATCATATTCAATTAGAACGTCTGTATAGGTCTCAACGAATCCTTGAACCATCATTGCTTTCGTAACGAATCATAACGTACAACGTCTAGAAGGTCATAAGTTTCAATGATAAAAATGAATATTTTATACTGCTCATTTACAAATAGCCTTCTAACGATAAGTAAGTGTATGTTTTTCTTTGCTGAAGAATTTGTTTTTTTTTTCTTTTCAATGGTAAGTGCTTCAGTTTTAATTTCAAGATTTTACATATGTTCGCTGAAATTCTTTGAAACTAATAATACTTTTGATTTTGTGAACAAAGATAAACAGTATTCTTTTTTATACACATATACAGAAAAGATGATCCAATAACTATATATATTTATCTCTTTTCTTTTTTGTTAAAACCAAGGATTACCAGCCACTCTATTACATAATTGTTTACTATAGTTCGATGATTGTTATATCCTTTTTTTGTCTTTCTTATGTAAACAAAACTCATCAAGATAATAAAAGCTGTTTTTATTGTCGTTCAATCACAATTTTCTTGTTTATAGTAACATCCATTAGACGTCTATTCGTAAACGATACATTGACTTAATTAGGTTCTTCTTTATTGATTTATAATCGACAGTATATTTTCTTTGATTAAATGAACTCTTATTTTATTTGATTATTTAATTTCACTTCAATCGCATAGATAAGAAATAATGCATAAGAAGAAGAAGAAAAAAACAGTATGATTTTGACATTAACAATGCATACTACATACCCACACACAAGAACAAAAAAAAAAGAAACGCACAAGTCAAATCTGACCATGATATGTTCGATTAAGTTGATGTTTCTTCTTCAGGCTGAGAAGCTGTCAATATGACGCTACCATTTGTCGATGTGCCATTATTGAATGAACGAGATGAACGAATTTTTTTCACACTAGAACGATAAAAATACCAAATAAATTATTCATTACTTCATATAAAAATATTTCTTTGCAAAAGTTAATTCAAAAAAGCAAAAAAAAAAAGCGCAAAGAAAGGAAACGTCGGTCATTATTTAGCATTAGAAGCATTTTGTAAGTAAATAATTTTCTTTTTTGTTTTTTTTTTAGTAAAAGAACCTAGAGTAACTAATTGATATCGACGTTTGTTTCTGAAAATAATTTATATGAATTATTATATTTTTTTTTTTTTTTCTATTGAAATATTCTTTAATATATATTATTATACCTTTTATTATTTGTTAAAGTTGTTTCAATAATTGTTGATTGCTTACATGCAGATAAAAGTGGTTGAAGACTTTCAGTAAATTTTGTAAATTTATTTTCAAGATCTTTTTGATATTCACGTTGATCAGCTTGAATTAATGTTTTATTTCGTTTTAATGCTTCAGCAAGTCTAACAAGAGAAATAAAAAAAAAAGAAAAAACAAACCAAACTATAGATTATTTTTGAAGATTTTCTTTTTTCAAAAATAAATTACCTTCGAGTAAATTCTTTAAAAAATAATCGTAAACGATTATGATGAATATTTGGTAATTCTAATCCATTCATAATTGGATTTAAGAAAATATTTGCGACTTCTAATGGACCTTGATTAACAGCAGTACTTATACAACCTTGTATAACCATTTGAAGAATTTTAGGATCAGCTGGTTCTTGTTGTATAGCTATACGTAATTCATCAGTTTTCTTTTGTAAATCTTCTATAGCAACTTCAATTGGACTTAGAATTAAACGTTCACGATCAATGATTCCAATACGTGTTTTAACATATGGAAAAGCACGTTCAACAGTTAAAATTGTTTTACGTTTATATTGTTCAGGTAATGAACCATGTGCACGATTTGTATCCATTGTAAATGGTGACGCATACATAAAACGTTCTAAATTATTAATTAGATGTCTTTCTTTTTTTTTTGTCTTACTAAGAGAAGAAAAAGATTTTATAATTTACTAAGATTATAATTTCGATCGAAATGTGTTGGACGATGTTGTAATTCCGATGTATCGAAATATGGTTCGACATAAGTTACTTGAATATAAACCTTTTTTTTTTTGGAAACAAAAAGAAAAACGAAGAGATTATGAAAAATATCAATAAGCCATTTTTATGATCTCTTAGGGATATGATTACATGATAAGAATATCATACTCAATCTATTTTATGTTACTTTGAAGTTTTTCTTCCTCTCTCACATACTTCAAGTGTTAATCATTCATTGATGTTTCATACGATTGTATACATGTACATAAGAATTAGTAATGCATGCTAATCGATATTATCATCAAGCATTGAAAGCTCATTTCTTGTTTATTCTTATCTTTGATAGACAAGAACAACGAATGGTAACAAATCGAAACATGACAACCATAAAAAAAAAATCAATTGGATTCGAAAAAAAAAAAGCAAAAGAAATTTTTCTATAAACACAATAAATAAGATAAACATAACGAAAATGAATAATTTCATAGATAGACGAAACAATATGTAGAAGTGATTATCTAGTAATCTAATGATGATATATTATCTAATTCATTTATTACTGACTATCAACGTCAGATCAAGAAATAACTGAGGGTTACATAAACAAATCTGGATTTTTTTAAGAATAATTCATTGAAAAAAAAACGCAATATTAATCTATTTCTAATTATTCATCTACACATTCACCATGAATAATATGAAGAAATTTTTTGACTATAAAACTTTTTCAACGTGTATATATAGGATTTGATAAATAGTTTTTTTAGATTTCCAATTTTTTCTAGTCAGTATTCTATTATTTCTAAAATATTTAATTAATAACTCTAGAAGTAATCAATGACATCTTTTTCATTGATGAAGAAAAAAAAAACCCGAGACATATATACATATATCTACATATATATATATAAAGGAGAAAATCTTGGTTCGATTATCACCATTGCCATGACATTTAGCATGTTTTACATCATTTAGCCTAAGGCAATGTCAATTGACGAATTTCCTTTTCTAGAACATCAAGGAAATGAACGATTCTTAATATTTTTTCAGATAAAGAAAACTTTTTAATCAAATAAAGGTATTTACAAGGTTAAATGTTTTCTAAACATTAAAAATAACAGTCATATCAATAAATTTATTTTGCATTGTTTTTTTTTCTTTTTTTTTTTTATTGACCATAGCCATTTGTTTATGTCAAAATGGCAAATTTGCACAGGTTTCTTAAACAACAAATCAAAGTTACCATAGCTGACTCTTTTTCGAAACATCAACGTCTCCGCGGTTGGTCGATTACTAATAGAAAAAAAAACAACAGAAAGAGAAAAAGAAAAGAAAAAGCAATAAGAAAAAAAAAAAAAAAAAAAAAAACGGAAAGAACAAAACCACAACACGAAAAAAAGAAAAGAGAATCATAGCAGACCTTCTCTTATTCGTACATCATACAACCTTCTCAATCGTTAAAAAAGCACTTAGCTCTTAAAAAATCGATTCATAGCCAGATGGTGTTTTATGTTTATTCCGTCCCTTTTTTTTTTTACTTTATTCTGATTACTTGAAACGACCCTAAGAGAAATGGTTAAGGTAAATAAAAAAGAAATTTCTTCTATCTGTCAATTTAATGCTCTTTTTTTTTTTTTTACTGCTTAATATAATGTATTAATGATGCGATTGCATATGAGAAAAAGAATCTTTATTGTCCTATATTTGTTTCTATGTCTCAGTTTTCAACAGCATCTGACGCTCAACAATACTTCATTGCTTCAACGGTTTGCTCTTGATTTGGTTGCCTTGTTTGCTAGGTTATTCCCCTGTTACTTGTTTCTTGCTCCTGTTGCTTTAGTAAGGATGCCAAGGCAAAAAAAGAAAACTGCTGCCATCATCGCTGTCGTTGTCATCGTTGTTGCTGCTATCGATGATGATAATGATGACCTTCACTCGTCGTCGTCTCTCGCACAGGCGCGATATCAAGCGGAATTGATGATGTTGTATGTACAAGCAAACGGCATCTAACCCCATCGTAATAACAACAACAACAGCAATCTCGGCATTCTATAGGATGCATCATTCAATACCTAACGACAAGGATTCGTACTTGACAGAAAAAGAAGAAAAAAAGTGGAAAGGCACCGTGCTGGAAAACAATAAATAAGCCACAAATGGCTAATTTATACCAGTAATAGTAATGTGCTTCTGCTTTTCTTCGTTATACTATGTGCCACAATCTTATTTCCTATCACTCATCCTGATTATTCTTCATTATTATGCATCTAGTTGTAAATCTCTACGCGTCTAGTTTATGTTGGTCTAAGACTTAGTCTTATTTTCCTTTTTATTATTTCTCCTTGCCTCTATTTCTCTTTTTTTTTTTTTCTTTTTTTTCTTTTTTTTTTCGTTCTTACATTGTCTCTTTTTATTCGTAGCGTATGGAGGTATTTTTTTACATTCGAACCACCTACAGAGTACAGGTAAGGCCACATAAAAAATAAAACAGTAAGACGAAAAAAAAATGAGTAGAACAAAAAAAAAAAAAGAAAATGAATAATATACAGATTCCTACACATTCTCATTGTTACATTAATCATTATTCTTAATGGGCTAGTATGCAATTCGGTCTTCCTATATATATATATATATATTTATACATCTATATATATAAATACATATATAAAGGCAAATTAGTAGTAAAACAGAAACAGGTGAAGAAGAACAAAATTATTGTGGATATATATATATAGATATATAATATATATATTTTTGCATTACGCTTTCTATATAGTGTTGATCGCCGTTTAATCTATATTTAGGATAGATAAATTCATGGGAAATAAGAAAGGCAAAGAGGAAAAGAGAGGTGATATAATTTATGCATAACATTGTCGATGACAAGCCGAGAAAAAGATAGCAGATGCTGCTTTCAATGCCGTTTTTTTTGCTTTTATTTGACTTCAGTATATTTTGTTTTATTTCCGAGAGGAAAACATTGTAAAAAACACTATATCATTAAAAAAACAAATAATAAGAGAATGTATAGAACACATAAAAGGTAACTTGTACATGTATGCAAAAACAACGATTACTTGAGTTTTCTTTCTTTTTTTTTCTCTATTTCATATTTATCGCATCATCATCTTTTTTTTTTTTTTTTCCTTTTTTTTTGAAGGCTTCTGCATTCTTTTGACATGCCTATGTACAATGATTTGATACATAGCTTGCACAAAAAAACAGCTCTTGCTTTTGAAGTAAATAGTCATAGAATGATGACGACGATTGTAGTGCAGTGCGTGCATATACACATAAACACACACGAAAAAAGCGAGAAGGAAAGACATTGATGGAGACGATTTATTTAAAAAAATAAATATCGTTCCCTGGTTGCCATTGCCGTCGTCGGATGGCGCACAAAAATCCCTTCTTTTTTTTTTTTTTCTCTTTCTCTTCGTTGCTTTTTTCTGTACGTGATGCAGATAATAACGCATTTACTAAACACATACATTCAGTCACGCATACAGACTACATTTACTGATCTACGGTATGGTTAGTGAGAAATATGATAATGAGAAGTACAAGTAGCACTCCAATTTCATTCCGATTACATGACTTAAAATTGATTATTTGTTCCCTTTTTTGTTTTCTTTTTGTTTCTTTTTTTTTCCTTTATTTACATGTATTTATATTTATTGTCGATTTATAGGCTAATCAAAATTGATCTATTGCCTGAACCAAATCGTGATTGTTCTATTTATTTCTATCGTTGATGACGTATACGGCAGCATACCTGCATGAGATAATAAGATAGAAAGAGAGAAAGAGAGAGAAAAAAGGTCTTTTATTTTTCTTTTTTGCTTCGGCATATTTCCAAGATCTGAAGCTTACTAACATATTTGTCATAGCATAGAACTGTTCCCTGATGATTATATTATCTTTCTTGATGCGGATATTTCTCTTTTTTTTCTCTTTTATCCTGTCCTTTTCTCATTGATATGTACAAGAATACAGTCATATCTGCGGTTTTTCTTTTCTTTCGAATTCTTTTTCAGATCTGTTTTCTGTAGTATCTATTGTTGCCGTCATCCGTCTTATTCTATGGCTGACGATCAATCCTCATCAAAAGAAGTTAATGGAGGTGGTGAAGGAAATGAATTATCCTATGATGATGAAACAGTAACAACAGCCGTTGCTGAAAGTATTAAAACTACTGCCGTAGTAGACGATTATCCTGAAGAACCAATTGAAGATTATGTCGTCAATTTAGTTGTTAATGAACAACCTGATGGTGGTATTACACCATCAACCAACATAATTGATGCCGCTATAACAGATATACAGGATAGTATGACACCATCAAAAACATCAGCAATTGTTGACAAGATCAATGAATATGTAACAACAGCGGTTGAAGAATTGAGCAGTGATACTACTCCCGTCGCTATTACTGATGGTAAACGATGGTGGGGTAAGTTTATCATGCAAAAATAAATAGAAGAAAACTTGGAACAGGAAGGAAAAAAGAGGAATATAGGCATATATATGTGTGTGTGCGTGTGTGTGTAAATGTGTGTACGCCATTGCAGCAAGCCAAAATAACCAGTTACCGATAACATAGAAAAAAAAAAAAGATAGAGCGAGAAGCAACCAAGACAAAGAATCTGCTGTTGTATACAAGGTCTTCGTTACCAATTCTGTTTACATATCTGAGAAGAATGAGTTAGACAAAGATAATAGTCGATTAGGGGAAGAAACTCATGTCTATGGAAGAACGTCAACAACAAGGCCATATACTGTATAACCAACAATTTCATGAGCTCATTTTTCAATTGACTTACAGTTGTCGTTTTTCGCTTAGTTACAAGTAGACAAACCTTGAGAGTCGAGACAGAACGCAACAAAAACTATTCGGCATGAATATGTCTTTTTCTTATCTGTTCTTCCATCGAATACGTAATTTAAAACAATGTTAACAAAAAAAAAAGAAAAGAATAAAAAACCTCAACAGTGATGAATGAATACGCACAAAAAGAACAAGTTCTAATAACTTTCTTCTTTTTTTATCAAATTATTCTTGTTATCTTTAAAAACAAAGTTCAATAGATAAAAAAGAATTCTAATCTATTCTCTAAATATGTTTGATAAAATCGACGAATCTTTACTTTTTCATATTCTCATAGTCAACCTTTGTACCGATAACTCAACCTATAATGAATCTCGTGAAAGTAGAATAAAAAAAATAATTCTTATAGTACAATCGTTGTTTTTTTCAAAAGAAAATCCTATACTGATTCTTTTTTTTTATGATTTTAGGTTGGTCCACGCAAAAATTATTATTGGTTGGTTTAATTGCACTCTGCGTTCTTGCAATTCTTATTGTCATTTTGTGTGTAGTTTTCGGTAAGAAATTTAAGAAAACCAAGAAAACACCAGCAACAGCTGGTACAACAGGCACAACGAAAGCAGTAGTAACCAAAGGCATATCACCAGACCCGAAATATCAACCAGTGCCAAATGTTTGAAAAAAAAAATTTTCTTTTCTTTTGTCATTTTCTCCTTTCTTGCTAACTCTATCTCGTTTCTTTTTTTTCTTTCTCGCTTTGTCTTTTTTTTTTTTTTTTTTTCTTCAATAAGAGTGCGTTTTTCTAATGTGTGTGTATGCGTAGCGTTCTTTTTTTTTTCTTGTGCAAGATGATGGTGATGATCGATGGTTTTACTTCTATATTTTTTCTTCTTTTTAATATACACACACATATATAAATATGTGTATTTTACCTTATTGGCTAAATCAAGTGAAGCACGATTAACATCATTGGAATCTTTGATCATTTCAACTTGAGATTTACCAAATTTATCAATATAGAATGACTAAAAGATAAATCCAAAGAAGATTATTATTCAATATAAATAAACAAGAAAGAAACAAAAACTTATATAATTAAACATACTTCAAGTCGAGATGCTATTTCGGCTAATTTTGTTATTCCTGGTTCTTTATAAATAAATTCTTGTCCATCAAGTTCATCAAATTTTGTTCCATAAAAACCAACACGAAAATATGTACCAAATAAACGTTTATTTCCCTTGTAAAAACAAAAAAAAAAAAAAAACGAGAATGTTCAATTGAAAATTTTATTCTTACTTGAATAAGTATTCGATTAAAATATTCATGTAATTTACTATGTACTTGAGAAAGTTTT